CTTGTGTTCGCTTATTGCGACTGGTTCTTGTGCTCTTTTCTTGTGATTGGTTCCACTGTTCTATTCTTGTGTTACGTTCTTGCTATATGTTATTGCGTTTGGTTCTAAGAGTTCGATTCATGTCTCTGGTGCTATCATTGTTTACATTTTTAAAGAATAGGCGTCAACAAAATTCTGAAAGATATAACTCAGTGGTGCGTGAAGCATTTATATATGCTAAGTTATCTTTCGCACTCAAGAATATACATTCATACACACATACATTCGTAAATACACCCACTTTCTCTGATATGTAACATTAAAAGGTCTTTGTTATGAGTTTTTTTTTTTCCAGCATAATACATCCTAAAGGCTTCAAGGATTCTCATTGGGAAATCCATGGGTTTCTAGCGCGGAGGCAGCGAGTGACTAGTAGACGGGGAAATATCTGAGTGGCTTGACGGAATGAAAGCTTCTGAGGGACCTAGTCTACGGAGGCTGTGGGATGAGTATGAGGAAATAGATTCTTCTTGATTTCCTCTCCTCCCTCACGTACCTACCACGCCTTACGTCTTCAAACTTTCCTCCTCTTCACTCCTTTTCTTGTCCCCCCTCACCTTTTCTTCCTCCCCAACATTCCCCACCTTTCCTCCCACTCGATTAGCCAACACCCTAACACCTATTCACTCTCCCTCACCACTCACTCTCCCTCATATGAACTTTCTTACTTATTAATTCATCTGAACAAGTAGTCGATGCAAGAAACAATGTGGAGACACGCGAAGCAGTTGAACCATTACTGTTGTGCAGTGCTGCCGTGCTTACATATTTAAAATAAGCATTAAATAAACAAAAAGTATGCATATACATAAGATGTTAAAATTTATGTAATGTAACATGGAGTATTTAATTTAAATAGCTCCGAGCTAAAAGGCGTTTTAACAGTGACTTAAATGCCAACAAAGAGAGTTGCAATGTGTTGCAACGCTCGACGCAAAATATTTGCAACAAGTTTCGTAACAAATATAGACGTTTTTGTGTCAGTCAGAATACGAGAGCTATATAGGTTTGTGATCTTCTGACAGCAACAGCCTGATTGACTCTTCAGTAAACAAGAAAGTGTGGTCTTAGGCTTGGCAGGGGTGCGAGGGGGTAGAGAAAAGTTTGAAACCAATAGCAGGTATTTCAGGCTCTTAGGCTCCCGTAGAGTTTAGCGCTTTCCATGAATATAATAATAATACACAAATAATCCGCACATAGGAGAGAGGAGCTACGAGAGGAGGGAGTATATATAGGCCAGCAGACAGGGACGGGACAAGAGAGGTAGTAGAGGATGATGAGAAGTAGTGGTAATAGTAGTAGTAGTAGTAGTGGAGTCAGTCAAATGCTACTTTTCTTATCATGCTTCTTCTGTCAAGAATAGTGTTCTCATATCCCTCTTTTCCCGTGCTCTCCGCATTTGTGATCCTCAGTTCCTTGAATCAGAAATTTGCACTCTTTGTAATTCAATTTCCCGTCTTGGCTACCTTTCCCATTTCATAGACTCTGCCTTCTCACGTGCTAAACGAAATTTCTTCTCTCTCAAACTCTCTACTCCTGGGAACTCTCCTGTCCTCTACCTTCCCTATATTTCCAATCTTTCTAATCTCAACAACTTTCTCCGTTCTTTAGACATCAAACTTACTTTTCGCCAGACTAACACTCTTCGCACCAATCTAGTTCATACTTCTCCTACCTCTGTAGATTCTCCTGGTATCTACTTTATTTCTTGTTCATCTTGTCCTCTTCAGTACTTTGGAGAAACTGGCCGTTCTCTTTTTGACAGACTCATGGAGCACAAAAATGTTAGGCTTGCCAACATCAACAGTGCTCTTTTCTGTCATGTCAGAGATCACAGTCATCTTATTGACTGGTCTTCCGCCCAAACTGTCTACCCTACGTCTAACTTTCACAGTCGCCGTCTGGTTGAATCCTCCCTTATACACAACTTTAGTTGTATGAAACTTAGTCGTGGCTTCGTCTCTGTAGATGCCTTCCTTTCCCATAACATTGTAAAAATGCTCCAAACTGCAGAACACCCGTGACTTAACCTGATTCTTGTTTCCCCTCTCTTCCTGTTCCCCTTTCCTCTTTCTCCTTTGGGTTTTCTTTCTTCTATCTTGGGTATTTGGTCCATTTTTATTATTCCACCCCCTCTGTGTTCTTGTTCCTAGCGTTTGTGGGCCCCTAGCTCACTTGTGGGCCCCTAGCTCCCTTGTGGGTCCCTAGCTCCCTTGCAGTACTCCTCTTAATTTTTGACTGACTCCCTAATGCTACTACTACTACCACCTCTACCACTACTTCTCATCTTCATCTACTACCTCTCTTGTCCCATCCCTGTCTGCTGGCCTATATTTACTTCCTCCTTCTCTCCTTTCTGTTAGTGTGACTTTGTAAATGGTCCAAGTCGGACCGAAACGTCGTCGTAAGCTCCTCTCTCCAATGTACGGGTTATTTGTGTACTGTTCCAGTCACGGTATGGTGACTTTGTATTATTTAATAATAATAATAATAATAATAATAATAATAATAATAATAATAATAATAATATATTATTATGGTTATTATTATTATTATTATTATTATTATTATTATTATTTTTATTATTTTTGTTGTTGTTTTGTTATTAATATTATTATTATTATTATTATTATTATTATTATTATTATTATTATTATTATTATTATTTTATTATTATTATTTTATTAGAATTATTATTACTATTGTTTTATTATTATTATTATTATTATTATTATTATTATTATTATTATTATTATTATTATTATTATTATTATTATTATTATTATTATTATTATTATACAGGATCTAAACAGGCTACAAAAATACTAAGAAGTTATTACAGATACAAAGAAACATGTGAGCAGAACTTGACTATTTAATTTAGATATTTATGTCGTATCTGAATATCAATTGTGGAGACGTTTCGCTCGTAGGAAGGGAGGGGTTGTCAGTGCAGTTAGATTGATTGAACTGATGAAGTTCCCAAGACCGAAACGTCTTCTCAATATATATCCTAGCACTGCACATTCCGGTATCTGATACCATATACTATCTAGTAGTTATCTAGTTGTGTGCCCCGTAGCTCGGTTGGTACCGCACTCAGCTCACAAACTTAAGTCTGCGGTTCGATCCCCGATACGGGTGGAAACATTAGGACGTGTTTCCTTAATGTACCTGCTGTCCCTGTTCACCTATCAGTAAAATAGATACCTGGGTGCTAGTTGACTTGTGGCAAGGTCTCAGACCAGACCTCCTAGTTGCTGGTCTGATCGACCTGACTATTGGTATGGGTAACTTCCTTATCTATATGACAATTAAAGGTTCCTCTGCTAAAAGCAAGACTTTATTTACCTGAGAAAACAACATCTCTTAGACCGAAACGTTATCTGGATAAAGACTTGTTCGGCTGCAGCAGTCTTCGTCTTCGGCTTCACGTCTGTCATCCAATCCTTATACTTGTTTTGACTCTTAATCAATATCACTTATTTACTTTGAACGAGCCTGATTGCCTCCTCATTACCAGCGCTTAGGTGCTTCCTCCATTAACCTAATTTAATAATGTTCGTAGAATTACCGATAAATTGTTTGTTAGGTAAAAGACACAAGTCAAGCTGTTACCGGCATGATAAAGCTCCTGGAGAGGAAGGGTTGCCACAAAAAAAAAAAAAATATCGCCTTAGTTGCACCTGAGTCCTTTAACCTAACATCCTAATGTAAACAAACCAGGGAACGGGTGGGGTTTGAAAGCACGGAGAGTAGTAATAATATATTGCAGTTCTTTAATAATTACGATGCACGTTAGCTCGGTTACTTGATTACACAACCCGATAATTGCACTGATAATTTAGAGGTAATGATATTGTGTTTTAAACAGCTAGTTCTATGATGAGAAAATAAAAATAAATGTTTAGAAATAAAGGCTCGTATATCTTCAGCAGTTCTTTGCTACTAATAATTTTTTTCTTCACTCGGTCATTTTTTATTTGCATTTTTTTTTATTTTGGATATATTACGACTTTATTTAAATGTTTATCTCATAGCTGCGATGTGATTATTGTGCAGCTCTGATAGCACAGGACACGTTAAAATTCAGACCACGTCCAATTTCAGCCAGGTTCTCTTCTCCTTCATGGAGTTTAGAAAACCAAAGGGAAATGTCGTAATTACCTAATGTTGTATTTTCCGGCGTATAAGGCGCGCTTTTTTGTCCACAAGAAAGTTTTGGATAATTACGCTGCGCCTTACAGTCTCTAGGTCAGCGTCAAAGGTAGACTTTGGATTGAGCTTAAGCGTAAAGTGAAAGGTAATTAACCCCGGAAAATACGGTACATCGCTCGGTAATTATTGTATTCCAGATATGGAAACAGATCAAGACTGGATAAACATAACAGGACTCGCTTCTATATCGTCCTTAAAAAAAAAAATAAACATATCTGATTCACTCGTTACAAAATCGCGGTGAACGACTTTAAAAAAATTAGTATATAGTGGGTAGAATAAAATATATATATATATATATATATATATATATATATATAATAATATATATATATATATATATATATATATATATATATATATATATATATATATATATATATCACTAAACATCTTAGGAAATTGTTTGGGTACGCGGATAAAAGTAATAAATGAATAAGGCGGCTGACTTGTCAAGTTGCTGAGACACTCGGCTCCAAATACATACATAACATTTATTTTCTTTTTCTCCCATTATGGAAATTTGGTACAGGAGTTTGCCAAGCTCAGGCTGAAGTAAAGAAAAGACAAGCTACTGAGACAGCGTTGCACTATGTAGAGCTTTATCAAGCTGCTACTTGATGAAACTCTACACAAAGCAAAATCTTTTTTTTCTGCTGTCTTTTCTACGCTATTGTTAGCAGTACATCATTTGAATCCAATCTCAGGCCAGTCAAGAAGAAGGACACTGAAGAATCACCAACCTGCTAAATGTTGCGCTCACTGCACGGCTTCTAATGCTGATGGAGTCTCCATCTTGACCCCGTCATTGATAGAAATTTAATGTAATTTTATTTTATTTATCTAGTAGCATTTGTTGGCGTTTCATTCAATACTGTTTCTCGACTGTGTCTCAGAGAGCTCTTATGGTTATACTTTCTTGGATAAATAATTTCAGAGGTAAAATTTATACGTGCTTAAAGTTTTTATCTCATGTTTACAGTTTTTAGACCATGAGTTGACGGGGCTACATTTAATATAAAAATTTGTACCAACAGATTCTCACTGAATTTATTTCAGTAATACTGAATTTACAGCACCATGTTGCAACAACATTTCTATATTTTAATTTGCTTTTTTGACGAAGGATTATCGAAATACAAAGACATGTTTAGATTTTCGAGAGTTTTGGGTTCACGTTCAAGAGCTGGCAAGAACAATGTTGAAACTAATGTAGAACCTTCACTACGATCATAGTCCAGACGTTCAGAAATACTGTGTTGCTGACACTGGTGTTGTGTGTATAGTCATTAATGCAGTCATCTGGGCCGTGTCTATCGTTAACTGTCATAAAGAGAATCGTTATCTCGCTTACAAGAGCCGGATATCGTTTTTGCAGTTGATGGATACGATTTCTGCGAAAGGTGGCATCGTTTGTGTTGGTAATGCCACAGTCTGCCTTTGCAGTGATACAGGATACGCAGACACTTAATTTTTACAGAGCCTCTGGTACAGGAAGAATATACACACTACTAGATTTTACTCAGCTAATATTAACGTTTAACAGCCCTTGTCAGTGTATAACACTGAGAGTTTACACAGCCCACTGGCAGCGTTTACACAGCTTATAGCACTGTTTATACGCTCGCTAGTATCGACCATAACACAGGAAGGTTCAGCTCCAAAGGAAAGGTCACCGCTCTACGGTCCCTGGCGTAATTCAGACAGGCTTGATGGATAGTCCAGTCGAAGTCGTCCTGGGATACACAAGCCCGGTGCGACAATATTGCTACTCTACCATATATTCTTAACGTTGATGACTCGAAGCTGAGTTGTAGCCCCGTGACTCAATATGAGAAGAGTTGCGTCTCCAAAGTGTCAAAAAGAGCAATAAATGAAACCTTTAAGGTAATCTGTCCACTTATAAGTATTTTCATTTACTATATTTTTATTGTTTATGCATGTTAGTTGAAGTTTCACATGAAGATTTAACTATATTTCCAAGGCATATATAGTCCATTCACCTTTATTTTTCTTAAACTTTAAACAATTGCGTTATCTTTCTGAAAGAAAGTTCTTCAACGCCTCCTTTATCTTTCTCTCTGGCCCTCCTGTTAGGGCTGAACGGAGGAAGATGAGAGTGTCAGTAGCTGCTCTCCCGGTAATGAACACTGAAGAAAGTGGTGAGCGGAAGTCCGGGCGGAAATTGTGAGAGGTGGCGGCCTTAACCAAGTGAATGAGTGGCCGGTAGTCAAACACTGGCCAGAGTGACGCCAGCCATGCCATGCTGGGAGCCACACTACCTGCCACACACCTCCCGTCTCCCTATTACCATAATATATTACTTCTCAACACATGGTCCTTTCTCACTATATTGAAAGGAAGGAATAGCTCATATCTGCATACAGATCAAATTAACTTTGAAGGTGTTGTGGAGTGTAAAATTGGGGATATCTATCAGAGGGTAGCGAAACTTGGCAAGCAGTTCCCGGAGGCAGGTGCATGAACAATATTTTGTGGCCTCTGGTGTGGCCCTCTGTATCCAGCTGTCACACATAGCCCAACTGTTGTCTGGAAACAGTACTGTTTTACTGCACAGAGACAAGTCTCGGCAGTTTCCGGAAAGGATACGAAACGGTGCGCTAGAGAACATACTGTAAAAAAAAAATAAAGGCATGCACTACTACTGCGTCTAACACCTCGTCCGAATATGAATATCGACTCACGACTTGGCTGAATGGCAATCTGGTCCGAACTATGAGCCAAACGTTTGAATTCTGATATTTAAATTGCTTATGAAAATAAACTACCAATGTTTCTTCGAGAGAATAATCACATGAAATCTAGAATCGTCGAAGATTTGCATTAACAAAACAGTTACTATAACACACTTATAAAATCCGACTATATTGCATGAAGGAAGACAAGTCAAGCCATAATTCGGACGCGGATTATTGATCCCTGGACCACCACAACGTGTTCGGACCTTCGCCGTGAAACTAAAATAATAATACTACCCTTCTCAATGCCGAATTCCGGAGACAGCGCAATGGGATACTCGATGCGTAACTTTTGCGTTGAATTATAGTCGTCTGCGTCAGAGGCAATTTTACGATATCTGCCGTAATAAAGATCGTGTCGGGCTTCGTGGAGATACAACACTGATATGAAAGATACGTGTTGGGTCACATGTTTGCGTGTCAATGAAGGTTCTTCTATAGTCTGTGTGTTTACGTATTTTAATTGTAATATTTATAATTACGAGACGAGAGCTCGTGGTGTCCCGTCGTTTTGCTAAATTTCTTGTATAGCATATCATATGCTCCTTCAGTGCTCACACGCTCCTTCAGTGCTCACACGCTCCTTCAGTGCTCACACGCTCCTTCAGTGCTCACACGCTCCTTCAGTGCTCACACGCTCCTTCAGTGCTCACACTCGTCCTTTCGGTGCTCACACGCTCCTTCATGCTCACACGCTCCTTCGGTGCTCACACGCTCCTTCAGTGCTCACACGCTCCTTCAGTGCTCACACGCTCCTTCGGTGCTCACACGCTCCTTCAGTGCTCACACGCTCCTTCGGTGCTCACACGCTCCTTCAGTGCTCACACGCTCCTTCAGTGCTCACACGCTCCTTCAGTGCTCACACGCCCATTCAGTGCTCACCCGCTCCTTCAATGCTCACACGCTCTTCAATGCTCACACGCTCCTTCAGTGCTCACACGCTCCTTCAGTGCTCACACGCTCCTTCAGTGCTCACCCACTCCTTTCATGCTCACACCCGCTCCTTCAGTGCTCACACGCTCCTTCAGTGCTCACACGCTCTTCAGTGCTCACACGCTCCTTCAGTGCTCACCCACTCCTTCAGTGCTCACACGCTCCTTCAGTGCTCACACGCTCCTTCAATGCTCGCACGCTCCTTCAGTGCTCACACGCTCCTTCAGTGCTCACACGCTCCTTCAGTGCTCACACGCTCCTTCAGTGCTCACACGCTCCTTCAGTGCTCACACGCTCCTTAAGTGCTCACACGCTCCTTCAGTGCTCACACGCTCCTTCAGTGCTCACACGCTCCTTCAGTGCTCACACGCTCCTTCAGTGCTCACACGCTCCTTCAGTGCTCACACGCTCAGTGCTCACACGCTCCTTCAGTGCTCACACGCTCCTTCAGTGCTCACACGCTCCTTCAATGCTCACACGCTCCTTCAGTGCTCACACGCTCCTTCAGTGCTCACCCACTCCTTCAGTGCTCACACGCTCCCTCAGTGCTCACACGTTCCTTCAGTACTCACCCACTCCTTCAGTGCTCACACGCTCCTTCAGTGCTCTCACGCTCCTTCAGTGCTCACACGCTCCTTCAGTGCTCACACGCTCCTTCAGTGCTCACACGCTCCTTCAGTGCTCACACGCTCCTTCAGTGCTCACCCACTCCTTCAGTGCTCACACGCTCCTTCAGTGCTCACACGTTCCTTCAGTACTCACCCACTCCTTCAGTGCTCACACGCTCCTTCAGTGCTCTCACGCTCCTTCAGTGCTCACACGCTCCTTCAGTGCTCACACGCTCCTTCAGTGCTCACACGCTCCTTCAGTGCTCACACGCTCCTTCAGTGCTCACACGCTCCTTCAGTGCTCACACGCTCCTTCAGTGCTCACACGCTCCTTCAGTGCTCACACGCTCCTTCAGTGCTCACCCACTCCTTCAGTGCTCACACGCTCCTTCAGTGCTCACACGCTTCTTCAGTGCTCACACGCTCTTTCAGTGCTCACACACTCCTTCAGTGCTCACCCGCTTCTTCAGTGCTCACACGCTCCTTCAGTAATCACCCACTCCTTCAGTGCTCACACGCTTCTTCAGTGCTCACACGCTCTTTCAGTGCCCAAAACACTCCTCAGTGCTCACACGCTCCTTCAGTGCTTACACGCTCCTTCAGTGCTCACACGCTCCTTCAGTGCTCACCCACTCCTTCAGTGCTCACACGCTCCTTCAGTGCTCACACGTTCCTTCAGCACTCACCCACTCCTTCAGTGCTCACACGCTCCTTCAGTGCTCACACGCTCCTTCAGTGCTCACACGCTCCTTCAGTGCTCACACGCTCCTTCAGTGCTCACCCCGCTCCTTCAGTGCTCACACGCTCCTTCATGCTCTCACGCTCCTTCAGTGCTCACACGCTCCTTCAGTGCTCACACGCTCCTTCAGTGCTCACACGCTCCTTCAGTGCTCACACGCTCCTTCAGTGCTCACACGCTCCTTCAGTGCTCACACGCTCCTTCAGTGCTCACACGCTCCTTCAGTGCTCACACGCTCCTTCAGTGCTCACCCACTCCTTCAGTGCTCACACGCTCCTTCAGTGTTCACACGTTCCTTCAGTACTCACCCACTCCTTCAGTGCTCACACGCTCCTTCAGTGCTCACCCGCTCCTTCAGTGATCACCCACTCCTTCAGTGTTCACACGCTCCTTCAGTGCTCACACACTCCTTCAGTGCTCACACGCTCCTTCAGTGCTCACACGCTCCTTCAGTGCTCACCCGCTCCTTCAGTGCTCACCCGCTCCTTCAGTGCTCACACGCTCCTTCAGTGCTCACACGCTCCTTCAGTGCTCACACGCTCCTTCCCAGTGCTCACACGCTCCTTCAGTGCTCACACGCTCCTTCAGTGCTCACACGCTCATTCATGCTCCCCGCTCCTTCAGTGCTCACACGCTCCTTCAGTGCTCACACGCTCCTTCAGTGCTCATACGCTCTTCAGTGCTCACACGCTCCTTCAGTGCTCACACGCTCCTTCAGTGCTCACACGCTCCTTCAGTGCTCACACGCTCCTTCAGTGCTCACCCGCTCCTTCAGTGCTCACACACTCCTTCAGTGCTCACACGCTCCTTCAGTGCTCACACGCTCCTTCAGTGCTCACCCACTCCTTCAGTGCTCACACGCTCCTTCAGTGCTCACACGCTCCTTCAGTGCTCACACGCTCCTTCAATGCTCACACGCTCCTTCAGTGCTCACACGCTCCTTCAGTGCTCACACGCTCCTTCAGTGCTCACACGCTCCATCAGCGCTCACTCGTTCCTTCAGTACTCACCCACTCCTTCAGCGCTCACACGCTCCTTCAGTACTCACCCGCTCCTTCAGTGCTCACCCGCTCCTTCAGTGCTCACACGCTCCTTCAGTGCTCACACGCTCCTTCAGTGCTCACCCGCTCCTTCAGCGCTCATTTGTTCCTTCAGTACTCACCTGCTCTTTCAGTGCTCACCCGCTCCTTCAGTGCTCACACGCTCCTTCAGTGCTCACACGCTCCTTCAGTGCTCACACGCTCCTTCAGTGCTCACACGCTCCTTCATTGCTCACACGCTCCTTCAGTGCTCACACGCTCCTTCAGTGCTCACACGCTCCTTCAGCGCTCACTCCTTCCTTCAGTACTCACCCGCTCCTTCAGTGCTCACACGCTCCTTCAGTACTCACCCGCTCCTTCAGTGCTCACCCGCTCCTTCAGTGCTCACACGCTCCTTCAGTGCTCACACGCTCCTTCAGTGCTCACCCGCTCCTTCAGTGCTCACACGCTCCTTCAGTACTCACCCACTCCTTCAGTGCTCACACGCTCCTTCAGTGCTCACCCGCTCCTTCAGTGCTCACCCGCTTCTTCAGTGCTCACACGCTCCTTCAGTACTCACCCACTCCTTCAGTGCTCACACGCTTCTTCAGTGCTCACACGCTCTTTCAGTGCTCACACACTCCTTCAGTGCTCACCCGCTTCTTCAGTGCTCACACGCTCCTTCAGTACTCACCCACTCCTTCAGTGCTCACACGCTTCTTCAGTGCTCACACGCTCTTTCAGTGCTCACACACTCCTTCAGTGCTCACACGCTCTTTCAGTGCTCACACGCTCCTTCGGTGCTCACACGCTCCTTCAGTGCTCACCCACTCCTTCAGTGCTCACACGCTCCTTCAGTGCTCACACGTTCCTTCAGTACTCACCCACTCCTTCAGTGCTCACACGCTCCTTCAGTGCTCTCACGCTCCTTCAGTGCTCACACGCTCCTTCAGTGCTCACACGCTCCTTCAGTGCTCACACGCTCCTTCAGTGCTCACACGCTCCTTCAGTGCTCACACGCTCCTTCAGTGCTCACACGCTCCTTCAGTGCTCACCCGCTCCTTCAGTGCTCACACGCTCCTTCAGTGCTCACACGTTCCTTCAGTACTCACCCACTCCTTCAGTGCTCACACGCTCCTTCAGTGCTCACCCGCTCCTTCAGTGATCACCCACTCCTTCAGTGCTCACACGCTCCTTCAGTGCTCACACACTCCTTCAGTGCTCACACGCTCCTTCAGTGCTCACACGCTCCTTCAGTGC